CAGCAGTACCAGACTCCTGCGTGCAACCCAAACCAAGCAACCAGACACTCCATATCTTTGCTTGTGCTGTTTCAGCACCTAGATGATCTTTCTACCTCTGCCTGGAAAACTCCTCCTTACACTTTAAAGCCCAGCCCAGGTGTCCCATCCTCCTTGAAGTCTTCTCTGACCTTCTGCCTTTCCCCTCCAGCTCAAACCCCCCTCCAGTTGGTCTCCGTATGTGGATCCCTCTCCATCTTAGAGCACACAGGCTATTGCATTATAATTATTGATGAAAGTTTGCCTTCTCTCACCCACCCTGTGCACACACAAGGGAAAGCATTTTTTTTTTAGCTACTATACAATGCCTGCCAGAGTAGGCTCACTAAATGATTGAAAAGTGAGTAAAGCTCCCGGGAGATAAACATGAGGCAAACCGGAAGTGGGGCTTGAAAGTCAAACAGACCAGCCAAAAATATATTAAAGATAATAGGGAGCCATTGAAGGCTCTTGAGCCATAGAGAGACAGGACAGAAGCTGTGTTTTCAGAGCCTCGAGGGCAGGAAGGTGGGTTTGGTGGGGAAAGCCTAGAGAAGGACAGCCTGATTTTTCCCCAGGACATCCTAGAGGCCCCCACCTCACCTGTTTCTTTCCACAGTCGTGTCAACTACCTGACCCCCTGGCGTTAATCTGTGAAAAGGAGGCCGATCCCCAGGCTGCCGAACCATGCCACCTCAGGTTCCCCAGCAGGACAGAGGGTATATGGTGGCAGCACCCATCTCCCTAAGAGTTTAGCCTGACTGGAAATAAACCTTATGCTCTATAAGGAGGCACCACACCCGTGTGTGTGTGTGTGTGTGTGTGTGTGTGTGTGTGTGTGTGTGTGTGTGTGATGCAGGGGCTGGGGGAGGGTCAGGACCTCAGGACCTCAGGATGTCTTGCCCTTACCTGCCTCCTGCCAACTCCTGGAGGACTGGTGGCAGTAGAGGGAGTTGGGAAAGATGTCTGGTGACCCCAGGTAGAGAATCAGGGTCTAGGCCCAGGGCCCAGCCAGGGATGAGGTACAGAGGCAGGCCTACCTGAGAATTAGGTTTTCTTTGTGCCCCTGTTCCCCTGCTCATAACCCTACAACCAAGCCCCTTCCACCTCAGACTCTGAACTTGAGCCCTAAAGAGAAAAGAGGGGGCTCGAAAGGGATTTTAGACACCTCTCAGAAGCCCTTGCCATCCCAGTGTGTGCTGAGGGCCTCCCTGGGCCCAGGGTTCCCCTGAAGAAGTGGAATCAGGCCCTGGAGGGTTGGCCTATGGTCTCTATTCCCAGTGAAGCAACTGAGTGTGGAAGTAAGATGAGGTGCCCAAGCCCACTCAGAGAAGAAAGTTTTCTCTCCCCAAAGCACCGCCAATGAACATACCATGTAAGCAAAAAGTTATCTGCTCTATCCACATAGCTTCAGGACTAGCCCTCACCTGCCTACCAACCTACAGAAAGGAGGCTTGATGTGCTGGGGACAGCCGTGGGGCTCCTGGGCCAGGTCCAGAATAACCCTGCTCAAAGTTTTGGGCTAAAGAAGAGTGTCTCGGCGTGGCTGGGTGTTTGTTAGAGCGGCCAGCATCGGCGTGGCTGGGTGTTAGAGCGGCCAGCATCAGCACTTAGCTCCAGGACCTTCCAAACACCATCCCACCTGTGGCCAGTCTGCAAGGACAGACCCAGATCAGGGTAAATAGCCACCAAGCCCAAGAACTGTTTGAACAGGACTTCTGGTGCTAGAGTCTGAGGCCTCAGGGACCCATGAACCTTCTGAAATCATGTGCAAAACCGTGGGTCCACCCACATGTGCATTTTCCATGGAAAGTCTCCTTGTTTTCATCTGATTCTCAGGAGAGTCAGTGCCCACAAAGGTTAGGAAACCCTGACTTACATCCTCCTCATCCCCTTCCACTAATATTTACTGAGCACTAGTGGATGCAAGCCTGGTCTCAGGTGGAAGGAGTTTAAAACAATAATACCAGCCCCTCACCTCTGGACCCTGTGTTATACTGTTTAGAACACATCATCTCCTCCAGGCCTCATACTCCATAAGCACCCAGGAGAGTGAGCAGAGCCAAAGCTACCCTGCTTCACAGATGGGAAAACTGAGGCCCAGATCAGGGAAAGGCTCCAGCCAAAACCAGAACCCAGGACTCAAAGTCAGTCCCAGCACCTGTCATAGCACTCACATATAGTTTGTGCTTGATATTCGCAGAATACGTTATTTCCCAGAATGGGGGTCTTTTGTTCAATCTTGGGTAATAAACAAGGAAATGAGTTGTTTTGTTGTCTGATATGCAGACAGAGCCTGCCTTATAAATTTGAGGCTGATTTTAATTTCTTTTGGGGGTGGTGTTGGAGATCATCACCCTTACACCGAGGTGAGGGAAGGAGTCTGTCTCTCTGTCCTGAAGTATGGGGCTCTGCTGACAACAGGGCAGGAGACGGGAGCGTGGGGAGGAGGGGATGGGAAGTGGCAAGCAGACCAGAGCCCTTTCCTCCTTGGGGGCCTGTCAAGGAGGTATCCAGCTTCCTGCCATTTCGTGCAGGAAGCAGCAGCTTCCTCTAAGCCCAGGGGCAGCCCACCTGGACCGAACCTTGGGAAGCCATCGGCGAAGGCCCCTGAGGTGTGAGAGCCACATTCTTCAGCCCTGAGTGTCCCCTCCAACATGACAGCTCAGAGAGAAATAGATCTGCCCAAGGCTCATAGCAGAGATGCTGGAGTCCTGGCCTGTGTGAGACTGGGGGCAGTCAGGGAGCTCCAGAGAGCGTGCTGAGATACCAGAGGGAATCAAGTGCCTGTGTGTGTTCTCGTGGCCCTGCTTCCTTGACACTGAATAACTAGACAAGTCCATGTCCATGCTGGGTGCTGGGACACAGACCAGAAGACTTGCCTGCCTTAGAGGTACTTCTAGTCCAGTAGGAGAGAGGTAAACCCAGCTGATTCAAACCTGAAAGCAGAAGGTGAGAATGTGAGCACACCTAGATCATGTTCCTCAAGCCTAGGAATTTGATTAGGTCCTTCCTCACCAGTTGTACACTGAATCCTAATTTCGTAGATATAAAAATATGTGCCCCACCATTGTAAAGCAATTATACCCCAATAAAGATGTTAAAAAAAAAAAAATATATGTGCCCAAGAATCAAGGAAATACAGAGTAGATGCGTATTAACAAGTCTGATTTAGTATGCACTTGCTATTTTTTACGTGCAAGGCAATGTATCAATATTAAGCACTTTGCAGTGCCCAGGAGGTGGGCAGTTTTAGACCCATTTTACAGATGAAGAAATGAACTCAGAAAGGCTAAATGACTGGCCCATGGTCACACAGCTGGTGATTGGCAGAGCTGGGAATTGAAGCCAGCCTGCCTGACCCCCTGAGCCTGTGGCCACCATACTCTACTGCCTTCCTGCTATGAGAGAGATGCACGCCAAGAGTCGGGGGGAAACCAGTGGGGACATTCGACCTGAGCTTAGAGAGAGGAGAAGATGTTCCACCAAAAAGTTCTCTTGGAGTTACTGGCAGTGGCAGAATTTGCAGGTTGAAAATCCCAAGAGATGGAGAGAAGCCACCCAGCCTGGGCCACTGTCTCCCGGCCTGGAAGTTCCCTCAGCCTCAGGGGGCTCTTTGCTCCTCATAGAGAGATCACAGTAGAAATCCTCCCTGTGGCCATTGCCTTGGGGACAGCCCAGCCCCCATGGCCTCACCTCCAGGCCTTCCTGGCCTGATCCCAATCCAGTACCCAGGCCCTGGGCCTCCATGCGCTACCCCTACCCCCAACGGCATCACCAGTCTCCTTGCTGTTTCAAACACCCAGGCTCCTGTCTGCCTCCTAACCTTTAGTCAATGCCTTCCTCCCACCTGAAATGCTTTCCCCATCTCTTCCTACCCAAACCTCACCCTTTCTTCCAGGCAGGCCTCTCTCAAATCCTCCCTTCTCCCCAATTCTTCCCCAAGACTATGAGGACAGGAACCGTAGCTGTTTCAGGGGGACTAACTCATAGCCTCTGGCCCACCGTAGGCTCTTAGGAAATACTGCACTCGCCGGCCCCTCTTATCTCTCTAACAGGATCTGGGACTCAGGACTGGGGCCTGGGGCCTCCCAGAACCAACACACGGGCATGG